TGTGAAGGGTTATATAGGTTAATCCATTTTGTACAAGCCCCCTTATAAGGTTGACAATTTATGACGATAAGTTCACAACTGCAAGTAAGTGATCCTTTTTCTGAACACCCACGAAACTTCAAGAGGAGATTCTTGGGTAATATTAGCGTTACTGGGAATTCCTCTTAGACGCACGACTAATGGTTGTGCACCTACGTTGGACATAGAGATGGTAGAGCTAATCCTTTTTTTCTGACTATCTACGTAGTGCAACGAAGGGTCTAGTTTGGAGTGCAATTTTGTTAAGCAAAAGCAGTCACCTTCAAGCCAATCAATTGCGGAAATCGGCCGACACTATGCAAAAGAATTTTGTAAGAATGTTAATCAAGTGTGATTCGGCTGACATTTCGGCGTCTGTGCCTTTTTTGTTGTCTGGAAAGGCGAAAGGGCAAATTAACAGCTGCAGTGCAAGAAATAGTCAAGGAAAAATAACCAACTTGCACTCATTGATTAGCAACCGCAGGACTGTACTACAATTCAATGAGGAAGCATAAATTAACTCATGATCTTTGTACTCGCCATCCTTTTGATTATCTATTTTTTAATCCTGTGTAATTGGGTGACTTCAAATTGTGCGTATAAACTTGTACTAGAGAAAAGTTCAGCCTAGATTATGTAATGTAACTCACGCTTCGATATTTGTCCCCACGCTGCTGTTCAGAGTTAAATTCAGATCATTCAATACATCGTTGGAGGATTCCCAATGCGAGAGATTATAGTGCATGTGCGCGTTAGCCCCGTAGGTGATAAATCTGAAGTAACATTAAGAACTAGGTCAATGGGCTCAAGCAAGATATTTCCAATGAGTCAGCAAAATATTTTCTAACAAGAAGAAGTTACCCAACACGCGTTTGTTGGCCGTCAGCAAGTCCAACGCTCATTCGAAAGAGAACAGATTCCACATAAGCGGTGATCTAGACGGGAAAACGGTTCATAATAAAATGATTTCTTTTTAAAAGAGAAGTCATGTCACTCACAAACTGAAAGCCACTCGTTGTCATTGCTGACGAAGAGTCAAGAAGAAAGAAGACATCAAGCCAGATATTAAACGGTGTACATGGACATTCACTGTTGGCTTGGTCATTTGGAACAGTTTCCTAAACAAAGTTTTATTTCCCAAACAAGGGAAAGTATAACAAACCCATGTTCTTAGAACGTGACCGTCCAGGATGGACTGAGCACACTCACTTTCTCCCACTCCTTAATTTGGCCCGTTTTCTGCAAGACTGGTGCTTCCGGCAAAACAGAGGGCTGCGAAATCGCCGCTGCGTTAGCGTATAAACTTGCGTAGCTTGCTAATCCTAAAACAAATAAGGATCATCAGCATATTTTTGCAATGATAAGGAAGGTATTACATAATTTTTTGAAATAGTTGTTGTAAATCTATT